CGTAATCACCCTTATTTCTGAACGTGGTATTATAACATTACCTTCTATCTTTTCCTAGTGAAAACTTGTAATTATGATCATCAATGTCAAATAAAACTGGAATTTAAAAATTATCAGTTTAACCATGTCTAATTAAATACGACATACTTTATATATCAAGAATGTTTAGCATCTTTGGTGATGCACAAAAAGTTCTGATCAATACCAATCAAATCTAACTACACAGAGGAGGGGCAAATGTTCCAAATGGGGAAATGTTAAGGCATGGAAGTGCTTGGGAGGAAGGAGATGGATCTTTGAATGTATCTGCAGAGGCAATATGGCAGATCTCTGACGCGGCATTCTTACCAGGCATTATTAATCCTTCTGTCTAGAAAGACAACCAAATGTGCAATATTTGGAATATGTGCCTAATACATGCTTGTTCTTCTGTCACTTTTTGATAAAATTGTATTTAAATTAAATTCTACAAATTAGATTTAGCTTTATTTTCTGAGTAGATTCTCCCGTTTCCTCTCTGAATTCATTCATTAGTGTAAATTCAACTCTAAATATGTTTTTTCTATTTCATTCTGAATAAATCTGTATTGTTTGAAAGTTCTGAAAACCAGACTATCATTAATTTCTTTCTTTCTTTCTTTTTGACAGTTCTGGGGTTTGAACTCAGGGCCTACACCTTGAGCCATTTCACCAGCCCTCTTCTGTGATGGATATTTTTGATAAAGGGTCTTACAAACTATTTGTCCAGGCTGGCTTTGAGCTGCGATCCTCCTGATCTCTAACTCCTCAATAGTTAGGATTACAGGCATAAGAGACCAGCACCCAGGTATCATTAATTTCTTGAACTTCACTTTAGCTAGAAAAGTTGCATCTTTTCAAAATCTCAGCATTATTTTAAATAAGTATCTTTATCCCAGCAAGATCGATGTTTGAGTAAAATAAAGGGATGATTTTGACAGATAGGACATCATATAAATATATATACATATATATATGTATATATATATATATGAAGTGGGGATAATACCTCTTTATTGGCAAGATAGTAAGAATAAAATTTAGAAGCTATTCAAGTTTCTCCTGAGAGTACAGGACCTGAGGATGTGCTAAAAGACCCGGACACCTTAGGTATTCAGATTATAAGGCAGAGTCTCAGGCATGCTCATATGCATGTAATCTCAATTGACTTCTTAACCTCTTACTCATGCATAACACTCCTTACAGGGGGAGGTTTGCACATGAAATCTTCTTCAGCCAACTTTCTATTCAAGTATTAACTAAGTTATAAGGCTCATGTCTGAAATTTTCCTCTGTGGTGGTACAGACAGACAAATTCAACTCCACATTGTTATGCTGGGCTCAAAGACAGAATCCACTCTCAACATCATTTGTGTAAGCTTTTCATTCCCTCCCCACCCCCAATACATTCCCAGGTTCAGTCTTGAAATTACACGTTCTTCCATTTTCCTCATCTCTTCTTCCTATTCCTCTGCATGTCCCATTTGGTCCACTTCTGCCCGTGTGTGTAACTCTGTACAATCCTTAAACAGAGGCAGCTGTACCTTTTGCTGTTTGCCTGTGCACAAGGTGATTTTACCTTGGTCAGACCTAATACTACTTCCATCCCAGAGCCTTTTTATTTGATCTAATCTGAGATCACACATCCTGGAATTGAAAGCAAACACTGAGACTCTGACCAATAATGGAAACAGTGTTACATCCATATAGCAATTTTACACGTTTGTTGATAACCCTGAGATAGAAAGACTAATCTTCCTTCAGAATAACAGTGTAGATTTGAGGCTTCAAAGATCTTTCAACACATATTAATATAATTTTCATTCATTTTGACATTATAAAGGGAAAATTATGAAAGTTATGAGAAGCAGGTAAATGTGAGGGAGAGCTGTCTCCACTCATAATGACAGCCGAGTTAGGTTTAGCTGGAGTGTAACATATCCACAACTTTATCACTCTGGAGGCACATTTTGACATAGTAACAAACTAGTGAGACAGAACCACTTTTATCTAGGCCAGAATGACAGACTCCAAGTGTTTAGAGAGCTTGAGGAAACTGCAGTTTATAGTTTGAAACATCAGGAATAAGACTGCAATCTGTACAGACTTTCATCAAATCTCAACACTGCTTGATAGTCTTTACCCAGTACATTGTAATTACTACACTGGCTTATCATGGCATAGCATTTTTGATTTCAGAACCTATCAAAGTAAAATAAACCACATGTTATGTTGACTACATTTATAACAAGATGCAGATGGTAAAGGAAACAGATGCCTCTGACATCATCTCCCAATTGCCTCCAACTTTTGCAGACATTGGCAGTTTGTAACTCACTCACAGGGATGCAAGACAAGTCAGGCAGTTTTCCAATTGTTTCCAGTCTTAAAAAAACACTGGTAGCAGGGCACTGTCTCCTTTGAGTCATACAGTGGTAATTCGACAAAAATAAATTTGATTTTAAGTCTGTGTCGATCTTTAATGCAAAATTAATCATCACAGAAAAAAAATCTCCACAAATATTAGGAGTTTAGCAATTAGCAACTATTGATTTTTGCTTGCCAATGACAGAAGGACAGAGCGGGAGTGGTGTGATGGCAAACTGTAGTGTCAAGGAGGCAAGAAAAAGTTTTAAACAGATAAGCATGTCTAAAATAATCCACCAGCCTGCAACACTCAGAATGTCCACAGACTTATTCCTTAGAATGTGAAAGTTATCAAAAAAAAGAAAAAAAAAGTTATAAGCAGGCTTTTCAGGTCCCTGTATCTGACCACAAATTTTTTTTAGGCCGAATTTGCATTCCAGTAGGAATCCTATGATTCTGGTAGGAACTTTCACCATTTCCCCAGTGATAACACAGAATATTATGCAAAGTAAAAAGAATTCTTTTCCTTCTTTTTCTTTGTACAAGATTTAAGTGTGAGATGACCTTTTCAAAAAGATAAAGAACTTTGTAGTCCATCTTGAAAGCAAGAGATGCCAGGGCAAAGCAGCAACTGCAAGGCCCTTAGTAGTGTCTGAGGTCCCATGACAGATCAACACAGTTACAGAAGAAGGGTTAAACAAATTCCTTTAAAATCTTCTCATTTTCCCAGACCCCCATGATATAATTTTATCTACACCTCTGTAGCAGAACATTTTAGCAGAAAAAATTGTGGAAACACAAAAATAAATCCTGCTAGGCCAAATATGGTACTTGTTTTTAAAATAATCTCTCTGTGCAAGAAATAGACTGAACACACACACATACACACACACACACATACACACACACAATACAAGAATAAACAAACTTTTCTATTTTGTATCCACAAAGCGGGTTGAGAAGATTTAGTGCAAATTTCTGCTGACCTGCAGCATTCAGTCCACAAACTTTGGATATCCTAGACGATCCATCAGTGTCCAGCAGATGCTTTCAATCAGTTTAATTTCATCTCTAGGCAAGTTTTGCTTCCAGACATTAGCATTTGTTGGTGATATCTCCCCTTCGTAAGGAAGGTAAAAAAGGTTTGTGGAAGTGGCAAACAATATTTGGTTTAAAGTGGCAGGAGACAAAGGAATTCCAAGAAAAGCAAAAATCCTTTCAGTAGTCTTCTGTGGGAAAAGAACGATATCTTCAAACCTAACCAGCTGGTAGCTGGTAGGCAGCAAATCTGTATTTATTCTCAAGGCCGCTGCTGTGTTTGCTAGCCACAAATGAGACAATATGGAGACAGCATTTGACTTGGATTTGGATAATTCTTTCCTCAAAAGTTCATACTCAAAAGCATAATCTAAATTAAAGTTGCATTTGCCTTTACCTCCCTCTAGTTTAAACAATTTTGCTAAGTGCTCTGGTACATTCTTCAAAGTGTAAAGACTTGGTTTACTATTATATAGCATTGAATAAATCCATCCCCGGGGATCTCTTACTATATATAATGCCCTCATTGAAGATCCTAAAACTTCCTGAAAAAAATGAAGCTTTAACGTCCAGCTACCACTACTTAAACTGAGCACAGGCCGTGCACTTGGGTAATAGACCAGGTGTCTCCTCAAAGCCCTAATGTATTCAGCATCTCTATCAAAGGTGCCTCTCATTCTATTTCTTTGTTCTGGCAAAGACTCTCTCCTTTTCAATTTCTTTTTTTTGTCCTTATTCATTGTAAAATATTGGGCCAGTTTACCCTTACTGGGTTCACGCAGATGGATGTTTTGCAAATGTAGTTTTGTGTCCTGCACTAATGACTGCAACCAACCTCGGAGTAAACGAAAATGCCCACTGTGGATGTCTGACACTTTCCATTCACAAGCATCTACAAATGAGTCAATTTCAAATTCAGTGTCAGGGATATCAATATAGGCTGTAGGAACTCTGATGTAGAGAAAGTCACTACTGTTGAAAAAAAGTTGTTTGAGAATGTCAGCTCCTGAACCAGGAAGTGAGGTAATGACAACATCAGGAAGATCCACACGGTGCTCTTCAGAAGACACTGCCTTCTTGCTGGCCTCGGCTTCTGTCCTTGTCCATTTTGCACAGATGGGCTGGGTGCAAGTGCTCCACACATCCAGAAGTTCAATAAACCACAAGGCAATGACAAGGATCAATATCCAACGCATTAGCTTTCTAAAAGAAAGGTAAAACCGCCACTGAAAAGTTAAAATCACCAAGCTAATACACAAAATTAATCCAACTGCTATGTTAAATTTAAATCCAAAAGGGAAAATAACTCTATCGTGCCTTATAGGTTTTACTATTGCTTGAGTGCCCAAACCAAAGCGGGTTATTTGGCCTTGATCAGCCACATTGGCAAAGCCACCAAATCCCAGGTAACTGAATCTGGTCTTCAGATTATGGTAGTCAGTTACAACAGAAACAACATGCTCAGTATTGTTGACGTTGAGGGAAATCTGAAGTCCAGAATTGGAATTATCAATGAATCTGCAGCTGGAAACATTGACATATGGCCCATAAAAGACATATGCAATTCTCGTGATTGTGGATTCCATCTGAAATGTGACATTAACAAACTGAGTCCACCGTTTCTTAAATTCAGCAGCTTGTTCTGCTTCTTGAATACTAGCCACAGGGCTATTGCCACGATGATCAAACCAGAACATTTTGTAGTGTGCATCCCACACATCCATCATGGCACCGTTATATCTGTTCATAAACCTATATGGGATGTATTTAAAATCAATATCCAAATTATGAAAGAAGGCACTGACAGAATTTATTGGGGAAGCTTCTTGCTTTTCAATGTGATCTACAACGAGCAGAGTTTGAGAATTTAAGAGAAGTAAAGCACGATACACACTTTTCAGTCTCATGGCTGAAGAATAAGCTGACACTGCTTCCCCACTCACAAATATCATTTCGCCTTGTTGAGAGGCAGTGATGATCTCCCCAGCTGCATCACCAGCCTCTTCGCCAGTCCACTTCAGCCACTGTGCACATTCTCCCAGCTGACCTTCCCAGGGCTTATTACATTGGCTTGAGGGGGAGGGAGCAAACACCAATACGTTGTTAAGATGGCTCAATTTTGGGCCATAAAGAGCTTCAGAAACAAACACCTGCCCATTGGGGGCAAAGGTAAATGAGTTCTGATCAGGATGTTCATGCCCTGGATTAAAGCTTCTCCATCCATCAATCCAAGAGTATGGCTGAAAGTGCACTATGTCATACACAGCTCGCCCTCCCAGCTTCCCAGACTTGAAAGACACAAAGGTATTGGTCTGTGTGTTTGGGAGCCCAGCCCCATAAGTGACAACACCCCAGTTAGGAAATGTGTGCATTTTTGCAGTACCATACCCAGCAGGAGGCTGTGAGGTGAGCTGTGGATCATACCAGATGTACTCAGTGTGAAGAGTACTCCACCTTTGGGCAGTAGAAGGAACCATTGGTCCATCTTTAGGTCGGTGCTTTCTAATTTGCTGAGCTAACCAATTTCCTGCACCATTCTTTAAGATGAACTTATCCAAGAAAACAAGCTGGCTCTCTGGACCATAAAACCAATTATAATTAGAATCTGCAATACCCACAGTTCTTTGGAAGCCTGGTAGAAGGGTAGCATAATAAAACCAGAAGTGCATTTTTAACCAGTTATTATCCAAGTTGTTGATATTAAAATGGCGTTGTGCCAAAAAAACATACTGCGTAACAGATTTAGCTGTGTAGCTTCCATAGGCCACACCTTCATCCAAAGAACCATCAACAATATGATTCAATAGAAACATCGTCTTCTCCATCACATCTACTACAACCTGTTTCCAAATGTTGGCTTTAGATCCTTTATCCACCCCTGTAACCAAGGCTCCTGTGAGTAATGCTATCATATTAGTAGCTTGGTGGTTATGGAGAAGTTGTTTGCCCCAAGAACGGACCTTGGAATACTCATACATTTCTTCAGTAATAACCCAGATTTTTTCCAGGTACTTGTGTCTTCGATGATTATCTAATAGGTTATATAAAAAGTCAAAGGCAGTGGCAAAACCTGTTAAGGAATGACCAACTGGAACCTCATCCCCGGGTGCATTCTCAACTAGCCAGTCTTTGTAGCCAACCATCCTGTCCATATATTCCAAGACAAACTCAAAGGCAACTTTGTCTTCTGGGCATAACAAACAGTATAGTGCTAAAGGTGGCAGATTGTTTCCATAAATTTCATTCCACTTGGCAGCAAAATCAGCATGCTTGGGTGGAGGTAGGTAGTATGTTGGGTTGGACAGCATAGCTGTCACTGCACTTCTGATCGCTCTGAATAGGTGCAAATGGCTTGTGCGAGACTTCTGTCTCAATGCTTGGATTTCTCCAGCATCAAAATATAAACTTGGATGAAGCATACTTCTCCTCAGCTTTTGGTTGGGTCTGAAATCTTGCACTTTCTGGGTCTTAAACTGATCTATATCATCTGTGAAAACTGCCCATTCAGAGTAATTGCTCACAGATTCTTTAGAAGTAGAGAAACTAAACATCACCAATGTTAAAAATAGGAAATGTCCTGTGAACATTAAAGCCATGATCCATGGGGAAGATCCTTTCCTTAGGCATTCGTGTCCAACACAGTGTTTAATGTGTTTACCATCTAGTTACGATAAGATACACATTAAAGATCTTGATAAAACAGACTTTAAATCTCATATTCTGCAAAATCCAGCTGACATTCTGTTCATTCAAAGCAAGTGCAATTGCCAAACAAAGAAAACTTACACTTTGTATCTGTATCCCTGTCACAGTTTTGCTTGCAATAAAATAAAACTTCAAAGAATATTAATATCCCTATTGTTTCCATAACACACAGAGAGAGCAGTGATATAATTAAAAACACTACAAATTCAGCATTTACTTCCTTTACATTAGTCTACTTAGCATCAAGAGTCAAAACATACATTGTAAAGAAAGAGAAAAAGTACTCCAACATTCAAATTCAAACTTATTCCTGGCATAGGAAGCCATCACTGATGGTATATTCACCACACAAATATGATGTGTTTCTTTGCCAAAAGATGATAAGGTACTCCCATTCTTCGAATGAGTGGACTCAGTTATTATTCCTCTCAACTTTTATGCTTCTTAGTTTGTGAACTTTGTCTTCTTCCAGTTTGGGGGAGAAAAACATCCTGAACAAGTGTTCAAAGTCCTACATGGTTTAAAAACAAAATCAAAATTCTTGCCTTCATTTCAAATTTTTTTCACACTCACTAGCATTTTATGGCAGAGAGAAAGCATGTTCATGTCTTCTTTTATCAGTTTATCTGTACAACTCAAAACTCTAATCTCTTCAGCCACCTAGGTACTTCTCTTCCAATCATGAAGTAACCACCAACTGGGAAAGCAAACTCCCCTTTCATCAACAGTGATGCCTCCTTTCTGTTCCTTTTTCATGACACTCCTTTCTGGGGGAAAAACAAAACACAGCAATTCTCTGAGGCTACAGGTATACTGAGAATGACTAACTCATGATTTAAACATTCTCCAGTCATTTAATAAGAAAAATTTTAGAATCACAGTAAACTCTGACATTCTATACAATCTAAGTCAGCTCTAGCAATTTTTCCTTATACTTTTATGCACACTTTGGAATCCCAATGAGTGTTAGATGACAAGCGACTGTAAGACACATTTATAGCTTTAACTGTGGTTTGCTTTAGTCATTTAAACATCTTTTTATTCAAATGCAGTTAACACGAAGAGGAGTTCTGCTATCACTCTTGGTATTTTGGCTACAAAGAAGCCCAAGGACAGAAGAGCAAAAATCGAAAGTCTCTTTTTAAAAAGAACTCAGATGGAAGTTTTAGCTTTATGGAATCAGAAGGTGTGTTCCTAAGGAAAAGGAGAAGTCACCTTTCTGGGAGGGGAAGAAGTCATGATCATGTGTGGGCAGAGGAAAGGCTGTACCCTTCTTCAGCAACCTTAGGAGCCACCAGAGGGAGCTCAGACCCAGGTTTAAGGAGCAGCCTCCCCTTTGCCCGTCTTAAACGTGCAAGAACCTAACCAAGTTTCAGTCTTGGACAAGTCTCCTCTCTGTAGGAAACACTAACGCTAGGAGTTTCCTGATCCGCCCCGCCTGTTGCATATTTTCTTTCGCGTCCTACAACGGGCCCCCTACCCCACTCCGTCCCCGCTCAGCTCCCAACTCCGCCACCTGTGGCTGGGGCTCGGGGGCGACGGACCCCTGAATGCCCACTGCGCTTACCTAAGGTAGACTGCGACAGGGTCTTCCAGCTGCGGCGGGCGCCATCGGAGGCGGAGGTGGAGAGTTCGAGGCCCGGCGGCGCCCGCGATGCCCGCGCCCCGCACGCAGCAGCCCCGCTCCTGGTCCTCCGCCGCGCCGGGAGCCCGCGCCCCGCACCGCCGGGACACGCCCGCCCTCGGGGAACAGCGGACGCTCCCGGGACAGCTCGACTGCCGCAGGCAGCCCGGAACGGCGGGCGTTCTCGGGGCCCGGGGTGCAACGGAGCGATGGAGTCCCCAACCCGGAGGCCGCCAGGGCCGCCGCTCCTCGGAGCCAGCTCCGGCCGCGCGGCCCCGGGAGGTGGAGAGACCGAGACGCGGGCGGGCGGGCGAGGGGCGGGGCCTGCGGGCGGGGGCGGGGCCTGGGCGGGGCCTGGGCGGGGCCAAGAGCTCCCGGGATCGGGAGGAAAGGGGGAGGGGGGCGCGGGGTCGGGCTGCAGTGGTGGTCGTGTGCTCCGGGCGAGTTGGGCTGCAGGTGGGGTCAGTCTGGGAAAGCGAGACGCTGAAGGTCTCCCCGACCTGGCGCTGAAGTCTTTGGTTCTGGGAAGAGGACGAGTGTAACAGAGCCAAGGGTGGCAGGAAGGTGGGGAGGGTCGTGGGTTTGATTACGAATGGTGGGAGAAGCCGCGGGGGTGGTGGGGGTGATTAGGGATGGCCGGAATCCACAGAGCTGGACTGCACGGCTGACTGACTGCCGCGGCTGCCTTAGAAAAGCAACATGGACTAGGTGAACAGAACTACTTCAGTAGCATAGATGCTGAAAGCACTGATCAGACTTACTGATTGAAAACAGTATCTCTGGAGGTGTAAGCAGGAGCAAATATGGGATCAACAAGTAGAAGGAGACTCATAAAAAAAAAATCAGAAACGGGCGTTCAGTAAAAACCTAATTCAGGCGGGGAAGGCAGTGTGCCTTGGTTACTCTCAGATGTTTGAGCAAATCCTAGAGCAGGCTGTGCTTCCTCTGGTATTCACCTTAGCCAACCCAAGGTCTGACAACCTCTGTCACGAATAATAACTCAAAACAATAAGAACATGGTGAAATATTAAGCTTCACACATAAAAAATTCCATCTCTAGTCTGAGGTTAGCAATACCTCAATTTCCTCCTAATTCATATTATTTAGAAATACGGGCAAATGCAGCCATAAAAAAAATAGTTGTTCAAAATATTTCCCAGGAAAAAGCAAATACTAGAATTACTAGCAGAATAAATTTCAAAGCACTTAATTCGGGAATGAAATGTAGTCTTTACAAATCCTCTTCATGTCTCTCTTATATTTTATCCCAGTAGAATAAAATATACCCCAGACCAAATGACCAGAGGAGCTTTTGTTTGATCCTTTAGCAATTGTCCATATTCTATTTCTTGTCTTACAGTACCCATTATCTGAACACTCCACTTACTAGTTGCAATTTTTCTAACTATTGAATTTCTCTTATCATCTTGATCTCAGCTCAGATGCTTATTCCTCTATAAATAGCTTCTGAGTTTCCCAAGCCAGAATGTATTACTCCAGCACTATATAATTTGCACCTATATTCAGTCTTAGATTGTTTATTTTATAGTTCCTGCCTTACCTAGTTGACTACTGCACTCTATTCAAAGCTCCTTCAAGTCATGGATACTGCTCAGTTCCCTTTGTAAGTGCTATATCTGTGTTTGAAATGAGTTGAAGTGGGCTCACACAGAGCATCTACTCTCCTCTACTGACATTCATTCCAAAACAATGTTTTCCTTGGAGACAGAACTTCCTGCAAACATCAGTGTGTCCCTCTTTATGGTTCTTGAAGAAGAAAGACCTAGAGCCTCCAGCCTCCTTTATGAGAGAATAGAGTTAACAGAAAGGGAAGACTGACTGCAGAGGTTGCTCCATTTCCTGCAGCAAGGAGCCTAGGAATTAATTTTAGCAAGCACAGTGATTAGATAAGCAGACCATCTCACAGAACAAAATGTGTGGTTAGGGATGTCTCATCCTGTGGATGCAAAGTGCCCCATGATGTGAGAGCTACGTGAATTAGGGAGAATTGGTGACAGACGAACATCTGCCAAACACATATTTTAACTTCTATCTGATCATTATATTTCCAGATTTATTAACATCAGCATGGCCATTTTCACTTTACAGATGAATGCGTTCAGGTACAGACACTGTGGTCTTTGAGTTCTGCCCCCATGCATCTGTGCTGAAGCTGTGGGGGTGCATCTAACCTCTCAGCATTCTCAGATGGGCTTTCAGGCTAATTCATTTTGAACAGGCATCTTCTCATGGTTGTGCAGTGTGAATGCATTGAAATAAAACAGGAGCCACAGCTGAACAATCTAGATCACGGCAGAAAGAGTGGCAGGTAAATGGCACTATTAAAAGTGAAAAGAGTCTTGTTTCCTGTGAACTAAAAATGGATAGCTCCAATTATTGTTCCTTCCACACATGAAGATGGTACCAAGTTAGTTAATTATAAATAATGCATCCAACCATAGAAGGAATGAGCTATATGCTATGTTATTGGACATTTAAAAACTTTATGAGTGTGGCTAGAGACACATATACCAACAGCTGCTAAATTCAGAATCCTGGAGCAGTATCTTATTTTAATGAAAGTGAAGAACAGTATAGTCTATTGCTCTGGGGATTTCTCTCTAGATAAAAGGATCTTAAATCTACATGAGATTTTACACAGTGATTTCAAAACACTTATGGAAATCTGTTTTCTTTATTTGCACATCTTTCAACCTACCTTCAACCACCCAACTTACAATAGAGTGCTTTCTAGAATAGATCCCACAGGACAGAAATCTTTCCCTTTTCTCTCCTTCCTTCCTCTTTACTCCTTTTCTGCCTCTCTCCTTTTTTGCTTCCTTACTTCCTCCCTTCTCACAATCCTCCCTTCCTTTCTTTTTTCTTCATTTATTAATTCCTCCAAATCTATTCCAGAATGTGTGCTGAAAATGGGGCATGACTCATCACCCCCACTTTTTGGCAGAGAAGAAAAAGTCATAAAGGTCAAAAGTGGGTTGCTGAATTATAAGCAGTCACAAGTTCTTTTTTTCCTAACTCTGCTGAGAAGCTTGTTACCACACAACCCATAGTTGGGCCTGTATTTTAGAGTTGCTTAATTCTCTGATACCTAAGATTGGGAAGCCAGCCAACATTTTAAAGAAAATTTCTGCAGGAATTTTATGTCTTAACATAGGCAAATTCAAGTTCTAAGTCTTAAAACATAAGTTAAATACTACATAGTCTTCCAGAATAGTTTTTAAAAAAAGCTAATAAGACAAGCTAAACTCTGTACAAAGTCTCTGAGCTAAAATCTTATTTGTCCATGATGTATTATTCTGGAAGACTCTTAATAATTGGGGCCATATGCCAAAAACTGATTGCTGTGCATTCAGCAACTGGCAGTCTCAGATTCCAGTGCATAGGCCTGAACACACATTTGAACCTGGAAATGGCTTTGTTATTCTTCTTTTAGCAGAGCCCATCTTGTTAAGACCTTAGTTGGGCAAGTTCATATACAGATTTCCTGAACCACTTATGAGGGTCAGATATGTATTAGATTGATTCCCTAGCAATGTCACAAGTGATATTTAGGGATTAGTAGCTGTGACTTTTTAGAAACAGACACCAAAAGTAAGCTGCAGGTTTTATCATACAATTGGCCCACAGTAATAGGTCACACCAATAATGAAGATAAAGTCATGGATTTAAGGAAGGCTGTAGAATCTTGAAACACTCTTTTAGCAATTGCTTCGAATATAAACCGTCTCAAAAATGATGTGGATTTTGCCTACAGAGTTACTAATGAAGATGTGGCTGAAAGTATTGCTTGAGATGGTTTATCCAGCCATCCAGAGTCAGTATGACACTAACTGGATTCATAAGAATTTAGACACACTGAAGCCAGACTCTGAGGAAAGGAGTTTCCCCCTAAGTGTTAAAGCTTTCGGATTATAAATGTGAAGTTTACTGCCACTATATCTGCTTCATACAATTTTGCTTTTGTTATGAAAGGAATTTTTAAGCAAAATGAAACTTGCCAAGAGATAACAAGATGTTTAGAGGTGGAGCATTGCTTCTATCATGTTCCCTGCTCTTCTCCACTTACATCCATGGTTCTCAACTTGGGGCAACTTTGCTCCTCAGAGAACATTTGAAAATATCTAGAGAAATTTTGATTGGTACAATTGGTCTGGTGTGCAGAGGGTGCTGCTAGCATTTTAGTGGGTACAGGCTAGTGGTGGTATAATATCCAGCCCAGAATGTCAACACGGATTAGGTTGAGAAAGTCTAACCTATTCATTGACTCTAATAATTGACAATGTATGTTGTTGGTAGTTCAAAACAAGTTTGGAATTATCTCCTTGGTTTCCCAATCACTTCTTTGTAGTTCATTCCAGGGCTAGCTGCTGTGGTTTGAGTGTATATGTCTTAACAAAATTCCCATGACGGAACCTCTTGTACAATGGGATGGGTTCACATGGTGGAGCCTTTGTGGAAGTGATTGAGTCATGAGTACTCTTCCTTCATGAAGGAGGTTAGTGCTCTCGTAGAAGAGGTAGAGGGGAGCAGCATAGTCCAGTTTTGCCCTTCTGTCTCCAGCTGTTCTGTGCTTCTGTAACAGAGGGCTTTGCACTGGATAACTGATGAAGAACAGAGATTTATTTCTCCACAGTTCTGGAGATTTATTTCTCAACAGGCACAAGAAGATTTGGGTTTGATCTCTCCTCTTGGAATATGGTTCCTAAACATTACATTCTCCAGATGGTGGTAAGAATACTATGTTATTACATGGCTGAAATGCTGAGGATGAAAGTACCCACTCTCAAAACCCCTTTTTTGGAGCAATAGTCTAAGAGGGCTCTGCTCTCATGACCTGTGTATCTTTCATTAGGCCCACCATCCAACACTGTTTGCATTCGGCAATACCTTCCCAGTGCATGAATTTGGAGGGACACATTTGGCACCTTTCATCTTTTCCTCCCAGTGAGAGCACGACATTCATCCCTGTTTTTAATCCTTTTGCCATGTGAGGATTCGCCATCCTGGAAACAGAAAGCAAGCTGTCACCAGAAACTGAATCTATTGGCACTTTGATCATGAACTTGCCTGCCTCCAGAACTGGGGGAAATAATTTTCTACTATATGTAAGTTACCCAGTCTGTGGTGTTTTGATAGAGCAAGAGGCACAGAATAAGATACTAGCTCTTACCTAATTTATTCACAGATGGCTTTCTGTTATTTACCATGGTCCATTTCTCTTCACTTGTCATAAGACACTTCTAAATTCAGCTGTCTTGTCTCTTATGAAATCATTGTCTATATCTCTAGGCCTGACAGGCAGTAAGCCATTTAATATGACATTTAGGATTATCAGAAATGGCCATCTCATACAAATAAAAGCATATCCTTTCATTCTTCCATCTTTATACTTCCCAACCAAGTTTTTTATTAACTGATTTTTTTTCTTTCTAGGACATTGTTTTTCAAATTAATATTCTTAAACTACTGGTGTTAGAAAGTCTACGGCACTGTTAAAAATGTCAGTTGCACAAAATTATTCCATTCCTGTGATTTAGAGTCTTAGTGTGTGGTCTGGTAATCTGTACCCTGAAATGCTCTCAAGAACTTAAATTTTGAGTCACTGTGCTAAAATAATTCTTATTCTGTTTTTCCTTCCCTACTCACCTGTGTCTGAGGGTTCCTTTGGCTGATTAATAGAAACATCCTCAGGCTGGCAGAAGGACAGAGACTAAATAGGAACAGTTAGGAACTGTTGCTGCAGAATTATTCAGAAACATTTAAGAAGCTATTTTGCAACTTGTTTAATTCACTTATGTTGAAATTGTTTACTCTTGTGAGGGAATGCATTGGTAAATAGACGTAAGCAATAAAGGTAAATATGATAAGACAAAAAATGGAATAAATAAGACAATCTAGACATAATGAAACTTTCATTGCATACTTTTTGGGAAAATTGATTAACTGGTAGCTAACAGAGAAGTTTGCTGCCAAAAAAAACAGTGTGAGATGAGCTGGGGAGAGAGCAGAAAGGACAGGCTGTGTTGATATATTTGCCAGTCTTTCAGTTATTACCTATACCTTCCAGACACCACCATATTCCCCAGGAGACTTCCTTAGTGGAAAGATGAAAGTAAAGTTCATCTCTCTAACTTCCAAGGCCAGGAGACATCTCCCTTTCCTTGTGAGCATTTGCATCATTCTTCTCTTTTTTCTGATACTTTATTTGCTCATCTAGACAGGGCTGCCCATCATCCAAAATTTATATTGCCTTGATGATATGATCAAACAGAAATAAGTTGTCCATTTTGAATTCCAAATCCAAAAATTCTGAAAAGATGAGTGCTGAACAGGGTTAAGGTTCCATCATGACTCAGGCAGCAATAAAAAATAGTTCAAGGTCATTTAGTTCAAACTTTGCTACAGGAGCTGACATTTGTGATACAGAGTGTCAGTCATCTTAGAACAGAGCTTGCTCCTCCATTAAAACTACCTATCATACTATGCCCTGCAGAGGGCAGTTCTCCCCTTGAAAAGTCATAGAGGAAGCAGTGGATTTGCTGGTGAGTATTGACAGTGGTGGAAGTTGAGCTGAGATAGAATCCTAGGCGCTGGGGCAGGGGTGTAGATTAAAAAATGCTCACAATGCACATAAAAGAAGTTGGATTCTCAGTCTTACTCTCTGGAAAGTAGTCCTTTTACAGAATTTGCTAAATTTACCCGATTAGAAGAATCACCCACGGCTGATGCTGGAAGGTCATGTGTTTGAAACCAACCTGGGCTACAGAACAAGACCATGTCTGAAACAACATCAACAACAACAAAATAACGAAAATCTCCTGTTTGAGATTTAAAATATGAGCCCTGAGGCCTTTCTTACAATACATAGGTAGGGTAGTGAAGGAATAAGAAAGAATTCATATTTTAAATATCATTATTATCCTCTGAAACTGGCAAATTACACACACACACATACACACTCATACTGAATGTGTATATATAGCACAGCACAGGTTAGCCTTAAACTCTCAATCTTCTTGTTTGATTTTTTTTTAATTACTAATTTATTCACATGTACATACATTGTTTGGGTCATTTCTCCCTCCTCCCTCCCTTCCACAGAACCTGTTCTGCACTTTTCTCCAGTTCCGTTGAAGAGTACAAATAAGCAATAATAAGAAAGACATATTATTTTTGCTAGTTGAGGTAAGGACAGATATACAGAGAGATTCCTAGCATTGCTTTCATATACAAATGTGTTACAACCCAGGTTGATTCATCTCTAACTGATCTTTACACTGGTTCCTGATCCCCTTCTCGTGTTGACCTCTGTCGCTTTAAGGTTTCTGTATTAATTCCTCTGAAGTGGGGACATCAAATGCTTTTATGTGTTGGGTTTTCTATCTAACCCCATACCTCCCATATATGTTCTCCCCTTGTCATATAACACAAGTCCTACAACATTCCTATATTTGCCCTAAATCTAAAGACCACATATGAGGGAGAACATATGATTTTTGGTCTTCTGAGCCTGGCTAACTTCGCTCAGGATGGTGTTCTCCAGTTCCATTCATTTACTTGTAAATGATAAGATTTCGTTCTTCCTCATGGCTGAGTAAAATTCCATTGTGTGTAAATACCACATTTTTTTCAATCCATTCATCAATAGTGGGGCATCTTGATTGTTTCCATAACTTGGCTATTGTGCATAGCGCTAAAGTAAAAATGGGTGTGCAGGTGCTTTGGGAGTAACCTGTGTTGCATTCCTTTGGATATATCCCCAGGAGTGGGATTGCTGGATCATATGGCAGATCTATTTAGTCAGTCCTCTTGCTTTAGATGACAGACATTCACCATCACATCTGACCAAGAAAATCTTTTAAAAGCTACCAGTATCATCTACTCCCAACTTCTCCAACATCTGGTAACTAACATTCTACTCTCTGTTTCTATGAAATCAACTGTTTCAGGTTCTACATATGGGTGAATCATGCAGTGTTTGTCTTTCTAAACCTGACCTTCTTTACTTAGTATTATGTCATGTTGCTGCAAATGACAGATTTCCATTTTTGTGGCAGAATAATATTCCATTGTGTACCTCTACCACATTTTCTTTATTCATTCCTCCTCTGATGGACACTTACAGTGTTCTCACATCTTCACCTTTATGAGTAGAAGCCTTTATGAGAGTACATCATACTGATTTCACCACAAAGTGATGACTATGGGAAGTAATTCATATGTTAATTAACTAGGTTTAGTTATTCCATAATGTATTTATACTTCAAGGCATCATATATCACATGATAAATATATACAACTGTATTGCCCATTAAAAAATATTTCCAGTTACAACAGAGCATAAATTTTAGATCCAGAGAGAAGAGTTTGATAGTAATCCTGGAAGGAAAGATGTAAGCTCAAAGGAAGATACAGAGTTATGCATACAAGATGGTAGCCACTAGCCACATTAATTAAAATTTAAATTAATTAGAATTAAATAAAATTAAAAATCCAATCCTTAGTTTTCCTAGCCACATTTCCAGTGTTCAGTAGCTACTTGTGCTTTGTAGCTATAGTACTGAATAGTACACATGTAGAGTACTTCCTTTGCTGCAGAAAGTTCTGTTGGAGAATATTGCTTTGAAGAAAAGAGCCAAAGAAGCAAAAAAGATGTTAAAATATTTTAGATCTTTTAGTAGACTCCTGCTTTGTGGGTCTACGCAGATTTGATAGGTAGTTATTCTAATATTGGTGATGGTACTGTTCCACTAATCTTAATAATAACACATGTGTGAAAAACGCCAATCCCAGCATCCTTTCTCACTCTGTAATATATGTAGCTAAAGTCAGCCAGCCATATAGGGCCCTTGTATCACCAAACTCGGATTTTGCCAGGAAAGCCAAAAACCTAGAGTTTTGATTTTTTAAAAAATTGAAAGTTATCTGAATTTTTTAAATAGCTCAAATTAAAATTTTTTTTTCTGTGAAGATCAAATAAAATATACCTGTGTGATACATTTACACTCCAAACTGAAAGGTTTGGAGTTTTCATTGAGAAGCTAGATACATGAAATTAAATTCCTTGATTTTGTCTGTTAGTCCATTTTACTGTATCAATGCTGAGGAAAAAAAGTACCAGCATTTCTATTAAGTTGTCTACTGTTGTAACACCTTTTAGTGTGGAACAGAGAGTGACTGACAGCATTTATACCTGCAGAAAAACATTGGATTTTATTTCTTGAATTTATTCATAAAATACTTACCGAAAGCTTGGAATGGTATGTACTGTGCCAGACACTGGGAAATCTCAAGGGGAAAAAATTCCTAGCTAAATCAAGCTTATAATGTTGTATATAGAAAAAGCATAAAAGAGATGAATTATTACTTAATTTTTCTACATTTTAATCATTACTTCATCAGATTTAAATGACTTTGAAGGATTATCTATATCTTATTGCCCAAAAATGTATTTTCCCAAGTACATTTAAATTAATGAAGGTAGGAAATTAGCAATGACTCAGGAGCTGGAAAAATAGATAAAAACCTAAATGTTGTAAAAAGTATCTAGGACCCTAGCGTCCTTTCAGGGTTGTATCCATTCGGTTCTAATACCTGGATTCCAGCCAGGCACAAAGCAATGTGCCTGATGACAGTAGAAAGGAATCCTGGAACTGCTCTTGCTGACTGCTTCCAGAGCTTAAGGCACAGCTAGCCAAAGACTTCCCATAGACAAGGAGGGAATTCAAAAATGATGACTGGTAGTTCTGCTATTTATCTAAGAGCAGTTGGGAATGGGACTAAGCCATTTTCCCTGCAGCTAGCTGGAAAGCAGGCTACCAAGAAGACTCGGTATGAAGGAACAGAGCTGTGCTGTTGGCATACAGCTCATCATGGGTCAGAGCTTTTTATCACAGGATTCAGTCAGACCCAACATGCAAAATTAAAATCTCTCTCCTAGGTAACTCTTTTAAACATAATGAGTAGAGAAAAAGAGGTGGATAGAACCATATTTTCAAAAAAATCTTGATGATAAGAATCACCGAAGGATTCTAATAATTCCCTGAAGTACAAATGAAGACTCAGGGGTCTGGGGTAAGATTAGAATTTGATGTTCCCAGCAGTACTTGCAGAAGTAATGATCAGGGAGCAGTGAGGGAAATACTGGAGGAGAGGAGTAAAGAGTACTCGTCTCCCTGTCATGGTGTTACTACTAGTTTATTTCTCTGTCCCCTCCAATAGGTTTATAGTTACATATCTGGCTTTAAGTGTGAAGGTTCTGAGTTTGAATTCTAGGTCTGACACTAAATGTAAGTTTCTATGAGATATTGGACCGGTTTGTAACTTTTCTGAATGTAGATCCTCATAAGGAAAATGAGGTGATAACAGCACCTCACTACTGTGCAGGGTTGTAGGGAAGTTTCAACGAAAGTCAGGTAAATTTCTTACTACTGACCTTTGAGGATTGCCCAATGAGAGTTCTATAACTGAAAGGCAGTTTTACATACTTTGTTTCACGATATCTTTTTAACAATCTGGTGAGGTGTAAACTAAGAAACTAAAAGAAAGAAAGTCAGGATAAAATACACCACACCTTAGGATAGTGGGGCAAAATAGTATACCACGTTTAACAATTTGCTTTTTGAAGTTGCTTAATTTTAAAGGTGGGGAATCTCCTAGGAAAGCATCTGGTGCAGTTTCCTCATTTTACTAGTGAAGAATCCGAGGTCCTGTGAAGCAAACTCATTTGTCCAATGTCAGACAGACAGAAGAACAGTGGGAACCGAATTCAGCCTCTCTACTGCCCATCTGGCCACTGAATTGTTAGTGATGCTGTTTGTCTTTAAGTTATAGCGCTGATACATATTTTAGATTGGCTTTTTTTATAATAAGAAATTATCCTAATCTGAAGTAACTAGTCTATATGCTGCTTGAACTGGAGTTTTCCAAATAATTTTCTAGGATTTATTTGTATCAAAATTCTTTCAGGAATTTTGTTTTGTTGTTTTTAAATTGCACATATCTATGCCTACTCAAAATTTCTTCTGGAATCAGAATCTTTTGGGGCATGAAAATTTGTATTTTTATCAAATTTAAAAATCTAAGTTTTAGAATGAGCTAATTAAGCCATTCATTCTTTGAGATCAGAAATAGAGCATTGTCCTTTTTGCTTTCTTATCAGGTCCAGCCAGAATTAAGGCACATACTTTCCACCAGTTAACTTGTTGAATTCAACTGTGGTAGTATCAAGTCAAGGTCAATGTTCTGATGATATGAATAATCTGTGAAGTGCAAGATGCTTGTGTCATTTCCAAAGATACTATTTCTATAATTTGTTCTTAATTATGAGCGTAGTTCTCCTACCAGATGTATTTGTCTGTTTATAACATATATATGATGCGTTCTTTACATACATAGATGAAAGAGAGAAGAAAATTATTCCCATCTTTCAGGCCTATGTTCAATAATGTTAGCTTGGATATTTGTTATCTATTGCTACATAACAAATTGTCCCCAAATTTGGCTGCAAAACAAATGTTTATTTTGTCATGTGATCTCTGAGGAAAAACAATCAGAGCAGCTTAACAGGATGGTTCTGGTCAAGGTCTCCCAAGAGCTTGAAGTCAAGATGTCTGCATTTGAACCACATTATCTTGAGCAGTAGAGTTGAGAGCTCAGGTGCACATCAAGAATGAAACTGGAAGGAATTTGCAATGCTATTGTGCTCACTAGGGAGAACATAGCCACACAGCATTGTCAGAGGAAATTCCAGGGACCTGTCATAAGGCAGAGGGAGA